ACATTGAAAATTATAGAACCTGTTCTACAAAAAAAAAAAAAAAAAAAAAAAAAAAAAAAAAAAAAAAAAGAATAATGATGCAATAATGCTTGCAAAATGCTGGTATGAAATTGCAAGATGGACTTGAAGATCTTAGGATTCGAGCGTGGGGTGTGGGGTGTAAGGTTGATGAGTTTTTTTTCTCTGTTGGTTTGTATTTAGGGGTAATTTGGGAAGATAGTGGGATTTTCTTAGAAATTGTGAAAATTTGAATTTAAAGTTGGGGTGAACAAAACAAGTGCGGAGTTTAAATAGAAAAACTCTTAATTTTTGACACTCCACTTTCCATTTGAGTGTGTAAGAATAAGAATACTCAGTTTAGAGTAAAATAACATGGAGTAACATGGGAGTGTTAAAATCCCTACCCTTTTGGAAATCGAAGCATAGCAAAGAAAAGTCGAATGAAATATCAACAGAACGCAGTTCTCATGTATGCAAATCTGTGGAAGCAGAAACAGTCGGCATACGACATCGTTTTCATAGAACTTGTTCAATTGAGAAAGAATCTTTCGATACAAGAAAACAATCATGCTCTAAAGATACTAGAAGTCAAAATTTGAGTTTCCCTCATCCACAATCTGGGGATGGTATATCAATAACATCTGACCACTGATCATAACTTACGGTGCTAAAGAAGCGAGAGCCTCGTGTATTTTCACGTCATGCTAGGAATATCTTTAGTTGCAAACTTGCTATGTTTACAATTTTCCCCTTCTAGCAGTTGAGTTGGAGGCTCTTCCCCTTCTTGGACTTCAATGACGTCTTTGGGGTTCAAGAAGCTCGGCTGGTTAGTTGAAGAAAGAAGTCGTGCCCACATCCTGTCGGTAATCACAACCTTGTTTTGCTTCTCAGTGATATGCTGTATATAAAAAAATCAAACAAATTAATTACTGGTCGGTCTTAATTCCAAATTGTCGGAGCATCATTTAAATTTAAGATATCTAGCATGAAATTAGAGAAGATGCAGTTGATGGATAGCTATGTAAATAACTTGTAAAATAAAGGATAACTATGTAAGGGATGTAAAACGTACATTAAAAGGAATATAAGAATGTCTTCCATTGACAGGCCCACATATGAAGCCTGTGTACCCCGCCATTGCTCCATGAACAGCACTTTGAGCAAGGAGCGTGCAGTAGACATTATCAGCTGCATTGCTCGGAATAGCACGGATCATGTATGTAGGATCTGGCAAACAATTTAATCGGTTAGATGCTAATGCTTCTTGTTTTGGTGAATTTTTTAATGAGGAAAAGAAACCATTAAAGGAGGAAAATCTGGGGCCACTGACCTATATACTTGAGATTGATGGAAATCTTTTGTTGTCTCCCAAAATGATTCTGAAACATAAGCAAACAATGGTTAACCAAACAAAAGAAATTTAAACAGATATAACTTCTCAGTTGCCAGTCGTAGATGAGATTTTTTATTGGAAATTGAGAAACAGAGTTCGATTTCCTCTGCTTTTAAATTATAATACAATTTCCAATTCTTATTCCGCCCACGTGAAGAGTGAAAGGGAACTTTTATGACAGTAAATTCTTACATGGACACGAAAAGCTTCATGTGATGTGAAGAAAAAAAAAAACAGAGAGAGAAGGTTGCAAGCGATACCTTTATCCTCTGAGAAATCCATAGGCCAACATCTTTAAGTAGTTTGTTTCCTGAAGCATCCTGCTGGTTCATGGATTGCAAGCTCTCTGACAGAAGATCCTGTCCCGCACCCTCAGCTATCACAATAACCATATGCCCATTTTCTTTGAGTCGTTTTTCTACGTACTCAAAAAGTCCACCTCTTCCTTCAAGATAGAAGGGGGACTCCGGAATCAAACAGCAGTCCACATCTCGGCTGGCAAGTGTAGCATACATAGCTATGAAACCTGCATCAAGAAATCCAGTCTAAGTCAAAAGCTGTACAAGGCTGGTATCAAACATAACTAGTACAAAAATTAACTGTTGTAATTTATGTTCCAAAAAATGTATTTTTGTGGCATTGAAACAAGAAAATGGAGACACAAAATGAGAATCTTTACCGCTGTAGCGTCCCATTAGCTTCACAACACCAATACCATTCTCAATACTTTCAGCTTCAACATGAGCTGCATTAATGGCACGTTGAGCCTCCTCAACCGCAGTATCAAAGCCAAAGGATCTGTCTATAACCGGAATGTCATTGTCTATGGTTTTAGGAATTCCTGCAACAGAAACTTTGAGGCCGCGCCGTCTAATTTCCTGCACAGTGAGAAGTAAACTGTTTTAAGAATGAAACTGTAACATATAATTCATCAAGACAAGTCAGATACAGTTAGGCATGGAGTTATTCTTTAGTAGGGTCCAAAAAAACTAGAAAGTAGCCACGATCCTTTAGCATTGGCCTCAGTTATAACTTTAAGGTGGCCTCCATAATAAACTGTAAGGTCTACATCTAGCAATGCATATATATATTATATAACAAATCCCACCTTTATGCTAAGGCATCAAACTTTCATCAGTTAGTGTAGAGTATTTTTACCTCATAGATGACAGCTGCTCCTTTTTGAGTTCCATCACCTCCAATTATGTAAACCTGTTTCACAAAAAGCAAGCCATGAGAGTCCCGTCTGTGTGCCTTTGCTGTGAGATATTATGTTAGAATTTACAATATATAGCTAACATCATACAGAAAAATAGTTAAGAAAAACTAATCCTTACCTGATTAATTCCACGATCCTGAATGCTGTCAACAATCTTTGAGGTATCATGTCCTCCTCGTGATGTACCAAGGATAGTACCACCACGTTTGTGGATGTCATTGACAACTTTGGGTGTTAAGTCAATGGTATTTCGGGCATAGAAACCCTTGTATCCTCCCTAATATATGTCAATATAGAATTTGTTAGCGAGACATATTGAACCTCAAGAAATGTCAACATAACCCACTCATATCTATTTCACAGAAGTAATATCAGACCATTTCCTTTCTCTACATCACAAAACATATTGAACCCCAAGCATATGTCAGTATAACCACTCACATCTATCCCAAGAACTTTGTTGACGCCATACATGTGATTAAGTCCACACACAATTTCCCTGATCACCGTGTTGAGTCCAGGGCACAAACCACCACATGTTACAATACAAGCATGAACTTCATCCGAGTCGAAATACACCTGAACCAACGCACATGAATGCATGTCACTACCACATACAATGCACATTTCTTAGTACCATAACTTCAGCAGCATTCAGACAGCTTAAATTCCATACCTTTTGGCGTGGTCCTGCTCGCCGAAAATGCGTCCCTCTTGGACTATCCGTGTGGACAACAATCTGAAAAAAAGAGTGGAACCACCACATTGTAAGCTCACATATACAACCAGGGCCAAAAAACAAAAGGTGCTAAATTTACAGATAATTCATCAAAATTGCAGCATTTAACAATAATGAGATCTACCCTCTATTGAAAAGAAAATACTTTTAAATAAAAATCAAATTTTAAAAAAGCCAAGTACCTTTTGAGCAACGGTATCGTCCACATTAACAAAATACTGCCTAAAAAAAGTAAGATCATAAATAGTCATTGTATTGCATTGAGAGATTAAACAAAGCAAAAGCAGAGACCATTCTTCTCGAGAATTAGTACGTACTTTACAACTGAATAAGCCGGATTGAATTGCAACGGATTGGGATAAGTCTGCAACACAACCAAACACACCCTCAAAATCGATTAAATTCAGAAAAATATCATATTAACAGTGCAAATGCAGAAAGAAAAAAAACTTTACAGGAAGATCGGACAAGTAGTCGCAGAGATGAGGCACGTCTTCGAGCACATAACCAAAATCGCCTTTCACGACCTTCATCTGCAAGTTTCCAGTAGGCCCCATTGCTTTTGCGGATTTCTGATCACTCATAGCAAAACCAGAAGAATAATCTGCGATTGAAAGCAATTGAAGCAGAAACGAAATCGGAGTGTACGGTTCTCGGACAGGGGACGAGGGGCTGCTAGTAAATTGGATAAGGTGCAGGGGTATTTATACTCCGCAATGATTGGGCCCGCGAGGGCCTGGAACGCGTAGTAAAATAGTAAAAAAAGTTGAGGACACGTGATATGGGGAAAGCGACGTCGTTGGGTGTTTTGAGTTTTTATGTCTGGTCCACATCAGCCGCACAGTTTGAAAGAATACAGTTCTGGTAAGTGAAAACAGGTGGCGGGATTTAGCGGCGGTAGAATAAAGGAAGCCTCTCGTCAAAGGCGACGTGTTTTTGGTATTTTCTTTTGTTTTTGGGCCGGAGGTTTTGTGAGGCGCATACGAGGTTTTGCGCGAAAACAGGTGGCCTGTTTTGATTACTGGTAATTGTCGGTTTTGGCCCCTGGTTTTTAATTACTCCATAAAAATATGGGCCTTCGCATGGGTTTCCTAGCTAGAACATCATGTGAATTTGTCAACAGGGAAGAGTGCGTTGACAACACAAATTAATTTCTTCGTGAAATTACTTTCGTTGAGACCAAAAAGTTTTAAGGTAACGAAATTTTAAAACTTGTCGATATAGATAGCGACCAGTGGTGATGGTAGTGGCAGTGAGCTGAAGGATATGGTTTTTTTTTTCCTCTTTTGTCTTCAATTCTGAAAAATGTTCTAAATTCGAATTAAAACTTGAGATACAAGATTTCAACCCAACTCACTCAACTCAAGTGTTTTAGAAAATAATTTTGTTTTTTTGTTTTGTTTTGTGTGGATTCTATGCAAATGTTGCGGGCTTTCTCTAAAGACCCAAATTCATTACTTCAAAGTTTATATTAGTTTAGCCCACTGACCTAAGTGGACCAATAGATCTAAGGATGCGTAGCTCTTCTTCCCTAAGAAAAGGCATGGACCCATTGACAGATTTGGTAAGGAAAAGAAAGTAATAAATATATAAAAACGGACAACTCACCGCACGCCACGTGTATCCTACTGCGACAATTCTTAATAAAGTATGAGGCAGGCACCGAGATATTATTTCAAGCAATTATCTCTCCATCCATCTTCGCACCTTCCATTTTCGTTTCACCTCTAGAACCTTCCCCTCTCTCCCCAAAAAGCACTCACCGCCAGAGCAGAAGATCAGCCAAGGCAAGCAAGAAGAAGAAGAAGAAATCAGAAGCAACGAAACGATGTCGTGGCAGCAGTTCGTCGATGACCACTTGATGTGCGATATTGACGGCAACCGCCTCACCGCCGCGGCAATCCTCGGCCAAGACGGCAGCGTTTGGTCTCAGAGCGCCACCTTTCCTGCGGTTCGCTCTCTTTCCTTCATGTCTGTGTTGTGGTTTGAGTTCTAGATTTACTTCGTCCTCTGGATCTGATCGATTTCTGAAAGTAGCTTTGTTCAGTGACTGTTTGGTCAATCTGTGTGTGTGATCTGATCAACGCCATGCATATGCTTTTTATTGGGAAAAAAAATAGATGAACTTAATAGAACTATTTTTGTGGTTATTGATCTAAGTATTGGAGTAATCGGTTGTTGATTTGAATCAGATACTTGATTTTTCACTGTATTATGTTGCGATTAGAATGTAAATTAAAATTTTTGGAACAAATTGATTGGTTTAATTATGGATGCGTTTGTTCTTGTATATGCTGTGCACTATTTTTTGAGCTGAATTTATTCCTGTTTGGTCGGTGATATAGTTTAAGCCTGAAGAGATAGCTGCCATTCTGAAAGATTTCGACCAACCCGGAACGCTTGCCCCAACTGGGTTATTCCTTGGTGGGACAAAATATATGGTGATCCAAGGTGAAGCCGGTGCTGTCATTCGAGGAAAGAAGGTGAGCTTTAGCATCTTATACATGTAATGCATTTAGCTTAATTCAGAAATGATGTATCTTACAGAAGTGCTTTGTTTAATGGCTGTCATCTTGCTTGGTCATGATCATTTTAGATATTACATGCCGTTGTGTCAAAATATGGTGGGAAATGGGAAAGGATATAATGCTGCTTCTTCTGATGTTTGATTGTTTTATATAATTCTATGTATTTCTGTTGACTTAATGTGTAAATTATATTAGGGCTCTGGTGGCATTACTGTTAAGAAGACCAATCAGGCCCTCATCATTGGTATATATGATGAGCCTTTGACTCCAGGGCAGTGCAACATGATTGTTGAAAGGCTTGGCGATTACCTTATCGAGCAGGGTCTGTAATTGCTCCGGTAAGTTGATTATTTTTTCCAATTTCACTCCCTAATTTGCAGTTTACTTTTATGGGCAAACTGGATTTAACATTTTTTTTCTCTCTCTTTTTGTGTGTAGTGACTATTTTATTTGAAGTTGTGGTGAACTTGGTTTGAAAACAAAGTTGTTGCTTGCTGCTCGGGATGTGATGGGTATATGTATGAACCATTTATCTTTGCATTCTGGGACCTCTGGATATGGATTGCCTTTGTGAATGATAGTGGTTTAATTTTACGATTATTTTCGCATAAGTTATTTTCTTCCTTTTGCCTGGAAAAGCGTATGTAATTGGAGTTGTCATCTCTGGAATGCCATGAATGAAACGGGTTATGTACTAAGTAGTTTTGTTCTATCAGAACACGAGTTGGGTGAAAGACATTAAACATTTTTGCTTGCCTTCCCTTTCATTGAGAAAGCTTCTGGATTTCCACAATTTAACTGAAATAACGAGAGGAATTTGGAGAAGTGCCAAACAATTTGGCCTACAAATTTGTGTATGTCAGCCATAATTTGGTTTCCGGAGGTTAAAAAGGCAATTTTCTTGGCCGTCGGAATCGAATTTTTATAAAAATCTGTTTTAAATTAAAAATGTTAATCAACGTTTCTTCTCATACATGTTATACTATGCATCCATTGTGAGGCTTAGGCAAGTGTGTTTTATAAACTTAGTACTGCTACAGAAATAAGCTCGGTATATTCACAACGATCCGAATTAAGAAGTTGTTTTAGGCAATTGTACTTCATAAACTTGTCATTGGCTTCATGATTGGAGAACCATAAACATAAAAATACTTCGCCATCCAGCTTTTAGTGCCCCTACTCTCTATCTCTCTTCTCGCATGATTTAAAATGGTGTAAATTATATAAGAACAAAATCTCATACTTGGTCATCCAAATAGATTGAACAAACATCTGTTGCTGCATCCCTTACTCTACAGAATTTGTCCTTGCTACAATAGTTCCTACTTAGTACTTGTTACCAGTGGTCATTGCAAGAACACTTCCCATCTTTGAAATGATGGAAGCGACTGCGGTCTCACACGATAATCTCTCGCTCAACGATTTTGGAGATTATTTTCGTTGCATCATGGCAGTCATTGCAAACCCTCAAATTCTTCACAATTCGGATGGTGGTTCCTGGACTAGTACTGATAAGGCCAAATGCAATGGCCATCTTCTCACTATGAACAGGCCCGGCCCTGGGCCAGGGCAGGAAGTGCGACCGCCCTGGGCCTGACTCAAGGGGGCCCCAAAATTAATATTTTTTTGTCATTGTCAGGTCATATTTAACGGTTATATAAATAAAATAAAAGACCTATTGACATAAAGTAATGCCAGCGGTGTTGGTTAAGCTTGGTTTTTAATTCAAGTCCTTCCCAAGTTCGAATCCCAGCATTGTGTTTCCTTCCTTATGCTTTTTTGAGGGTCTTCAAGTATGCAGGTTCTTTTTAGTAGTTCAATGCTTCTTTTTCTTTTTAGTACTCCAATGCTTTTATATACATCTCTCATTTTATAATATTATGTAGAGATATATAAAAAACCACATAGATGCATCTCTCATTTTCTTTTTTGTCTTCGATCCTTTCTTATATAGAGATATATATAAAATAAATGATACTATGTAGATCTCATTTTATAATATTCTACTTTCACATAGATTTTTCTTGTGTGGTATATATATATAAGGTCTATTTTTGGCGTTGCCCGGGCCTTGAAAATCTCATGACCGGCCCTGACTATGAACCGACAGAGTATCCTCTTTCTCTTCTTCATCAATATTATGGAGGACCAGATCGGTCTTCGGTTTGTACCCAGCTAGCTTCATTTTCCTCCTTAGTTCTCTAATCATCCAGTATATCTTGTCCAGCTGAGGATGGGACAGGTCTCCCATGAAGAACTCATGGACTATGTTATCCACCTCTATCCAACTACAGCCCGGTGGTTTCGTTACGCCTTTGTCTCGCATCCTCAGCCTACAGTTTGCTGCATCATCCAGCCTACCCATTGAAGTATATACATTGGCAAGATAGACATAGCTTCCAGAATGATCGGAATCTAGCTCGAGAATGTGCTGCACAACACGTTCGCCTCTCTCAGTGTCTTTACAAATCCGACAACCACCAAGCAATGCACCCCAGACTATAACATTGGGCTTCACAGGCACGGAGTTGATCAAATCTTCTGCTTCAACAAGGCGGACGGCGCGGCTGAGAAGATCAACCACACAACCATAATGCTCAACCTTGGGGAAGATCCCATATCTTTTGTCCATCATATCGAAATACTCAAGCCCCTTGTCGACCAAGCCAACATGAGTGCACGCTGTCAATAAGCCCATGAAAGTAATGTCATTTGGCTTCACCTCATGCTCAATCATTTTGTTGAAACACCCGAAAGCTTCATCGGCATGGCCGTTCATGGCCAACCCAGTAACGATAATGCTCCAAGATATCACATCCCTCTGATCCATCATTCCAAAAACCAGCTTAGCCTCAGCTATGCAGCCACACTTGGCATACATATCTGCCAATGCATTCCCTAAAAACAAACCCAACTCCATCCCATGCTGTCTTATAAACCTATTAATCCACTTCCCCAAGTCAAGTGCGCCATGATGAGCGCAAGCAGACAACACACTAACAAGCGTGACATCATTTGGCGCCAATCCATACTGTTGCATTTGCCTAAACAAACCAACGGCCTCAGCATACTTCTCATTCTGCGCATACCCGGCAATCATCGCATTCCATGAAACCACATTCCTCTCTGGCATCTCATCGAAAAGACGGTGAGCTTCCCCCAACTCACCGAACTTCGCATACGCAGTGATCATAGTCAACCAAGAAAACAAAGTCTTCTCTGCCATCCCATCAAACACCCACCTGGCCTTATCAACCTGCCCGCTCAAGCAATACCCCGAAACCAAAGTGTTCCATGAAACAACATCCCTCACACCCATTTCATCAAACAGCTTTTGGGCAATCCCGAAATTACCCACCTTGAAATACAATCAGTAAGCGAATTTCTGACAGATAAATTACCCTCACACACGTATTTAGCAACAAAGCAGTGAACCTTCTCTCCCTCCGTCACTTGGGCAAGGCCAGCGCAGGCCTTGAGCACAGAAGTGAACGTGTACTCATCTGGGGCCGGAGCATTTGGCGAACCCAGTTGCCAATTGAAGTAATCTATGGTGTGCTGCCAGTCATTGTTTTGAGCAAAGGCTTTGAGGAGGGCATTGTAGACGAAGATGTTTGGGGCTGTGAGGAAGTGGTTGAATACGAGCGCCACGTGGCGTATGTTGGCGTGGTCGGCGCAGACGCCGATGAGCTTGACGGCGATGATGTTTGGGTCGATGGAGGGTACTGGGTTGATGGTCGCTTGGGCTTGGATTTGGTAGAGGTGGCGCATGGAAAGCTGGGCAGCGCATCTTAGGAGGAGGTGAGTGAGCTTGGGGTGGTTGTGCGGGTAAAGAAGAGCCAGGATGGGTTCGGCTGAGTCGCTGACTCGGTTACTCTGCGCAATGTTTTACAGAGAAGACGACCTCGGAGAGACGAGTTCAAATGTCACAGAACTAAACCAGCACGGGGAGCCCCTGGGCCTAAAGCTCAAGTCTCGTATTTTTATGATATATTTTTACTCAAATGGAAAAGAAAGAGTCATTTTATAGTGAGTGTTTTATATATGACCGTTTTATATCTTAATCGTTTGATAAAGCTGACCAATTTGATTCAACGAGATAGAGTTTCATCTCAGGGTCATATATAACATCCTCACTATAGAATTCTTGAGGAAAGAAAACACAACACAAGTGCCTTATAATATTGAGAGTCCAACTCGGAAGGAATGATTCCTTTTTTTGTTAGGACTTTTCTTATTGAGAAAGTCGGAGCAATTGTTTCAAATCACTACACTAAAAGAGACTTTTAAGGGGATGACATAACTTTTCTTTTTTCCGCTACTTTGAACTGTTCAAGCAGCCAAAAGGCAAGTCTGGACAAAGTGACAACAACGTTAATGTACAAAAATTGACCCAAAAAAAAAGAAGTTAATGTACGAAAATTTATAGAGATTTTCTATTTAAACCCTGCACTTCTCTTTGTTCATCCCAATACTTAAATCATTAAGCAGTAAGTTTTATTATTGTGTAAAAAGAAAAAAAAGAAGTCATCCAACTTAATAATTAACGCTGATACATCTATACACACACCCCACCACTCTTTATATTAAGTTTTAGAAAAATACAAATTTCTCTACATCCTATTTAAATTGGATCAGGACAGAGGTAAAGTATAAATTGGATCAGATCAGGACAAACTCCTCTACTTGGAGAGAAGCAAAGTTGTTCTCTTTCTCTATAAAGCATTAAATTTCGGGTTTGGGATTCCATTTGTGTGTGTTTTTTTCGCTAAGAACAAAGAAAATTGTAGGGTTTAAATAGAAAATCTCTTTATTTCTTATTTTTTCAGTTTGCGGTGTTTTTAAGGGTAGTTTGGGAAGATATCGGGGTTTTCTTAGAAATTGTGAAAATTTAAATTAAAAGATGGGGTGAACTTAGAACATGGGTGAACTAAGAGAAGTGTGTGGTTTAAATAGAAAATTTCAATTTATATTTTTATTAAAAAAAAGAAGAAAATGATAAGAACGTGGCAGAATCAGAAGTTCACTTCACTCAAAATTACTCGAAATCTGAGACTATAAACACCGATAAGCCGCTGTCTTTCTATGTCTCTCTCTGTCTGTGTTCTGAATCTGGTTTAGAAAAGAAAATTGTGTTTGGAGTGAGTGAGATTAGCAGAAAGAGAATGGGGATTCCATCGGAAATGAGGGACATGTGGGTGAACCGCGGAAAAGGCTTGCTCATTCCTTCGCCAGCTGAAGAACAGAAGAGGTTAAGATCCGCAACGTGCACCCAAGGTTTGTTTTCGTTAATCACTGATTATAATTTGGGCAAGCTCTGTTTTCATCCTCTACCCAGTTGAGTTTGTCTGATTGATCGACCATCTGGTTGGTTTGATTTAGATTGCTAGGTTATTAGTTAGTTAATTAACTTGTAATGTTTGGAAAATTTGAAATTCCTGTCCGGTTCTGTTCTGAGAATCGGCGAGAACGAGAACGAGGAAAAGGAAATAAAGAATTGGATCTGTTGTAAAAAAAGTTGGAACTTTTTGTTTATACTGACCTGAATTGAATTGTAATTTAATAAATAAAAAACGAGCGGTAAATTTTCTTGGGTCATTTTTGATTGAGTTGAATGTTTATGTTCGATCAATTCGGCAGCAACCCAATGGTGGAAACTTTGTATTTTGTTATTGATTTACAATTTAGTAATGCATTTGACAGGTAGACAGGAAAAACTTAGCTATCACGGGTTCATGAAACCCTAAACCCGTCTCTCTTTCTTTCTCATCACCACGGTACATCATGTCAGAAAGAGAGAACGGTTTTATGAACTTGTGATAGCTAAGTTTTTCTTCAGTTAGACAGTGTCTAATATCACTTGACATTTCCGTAATTTGCAGAGGGTGTAAAAGAGGGATTCAAGGCCGCTGTCATTGCTTGTGTTCTCAGCACCGTACCTACAGTAAGTGTCATGTTGCCAAATTTTCCATAAGTTTATTTGCTCGGTACAAATTGGCAGCTTGCTGCATGAGCAACAAGCCTGAATCCTAGTTTTCATTTCCTACTATCTGCTACTGCACGTTTGATCTTCTTCATGTCCTTGTGAGTTATGTTCTTTAGCTTGTTGGTATTGCCTTCTTAGTTGTGTGGAAGATGATCCATTGAACATCTATGAATTATAATGTCGATATGATGGGTCTCATCTGAACTTGAAAAATGGAGTGCAAACAAATTGCATGGTTGTCTCTGAGAAAAAGAAAAACGGTCCTTCAATCTTCTCTTTGAAGTCTTTATGTCATTTGTGACTATGTAGTTCACACATTTTGTATTATATTTGGAGGCTGCGCCTTGGCCGACTTGCTCCAAACTTAGGTGGTTGCAGTCTTGAGTCACAGAAATAGCCTCTAGGAATAAGGGGTGTCTCTATGTCTGTTTATGTCATGTTGTGTCCTCTCCACATTTTGCATTGAGAGCCTCATGCACTAGGATGTTCATTTTTCTCTTTACAACTCTATTTTTGCCTTTCTGGATTCAAGGCAGATCTTGCCATCTTGGTTTACTTTTTGATGACTACTATTGACTTGTTCTTCATATTCCCAGTTGGCTGCTGTTCGTATGATTCCTTGGGCAAAACATAACCTCAATTATACTGCTCAAGCACTCATCATATGTGGTGGTATGATTTGAAATTCATTTATTGCTATCCTTGTGCAGAGATGTGGGGCAATTCTATTTGATATAGAGCTTTAATTACTAATCCTCCCACATAAAGCTTTAATTTGCAATGCCCCTATTTCCACAAAGAAATTTGTCTTCATGGGAAATCTGACTTGTATTATTACTTAATGAACAGCATCAATTTCCGCGTACTTCATCACTGCTGATAAAACTATCTTAGCATGCGCCAGAAAAAATGCCCAGTTGCAAGATTCCTTGAGACGCCAGAAGCAGTGATACCATGCAACTCTAACTTGAAGCGATATGAGTACCATTCAATGCATTGCCATTGAAAAATTAGTGCATTTGACGGGTGCATCGAGCAATCCTACAATAAACCCTTCATGTGCTTATCGTATGATTAGTTCTTGTCGGCTACATTCTTGTTTGTATGCAAGAATTTTTTTAAAGTTATGGTACATGGCTGGGGCAGCTTCTGCTGTTAATTTCATGAATCTGTTTCGTGTGTTTATATTGTATTCCCCCTTTGTTATCCCCGTTTCTTTTCTTTGGCCAAGGGAGAAGTATTTTCATTAATAAGGCTGGGGTTAGTTGACGTATTTGGATTGCATAGAGTTACAGTTTTTATCAGTTTGCTACTGTGATTGGTATAAGGCTTATTTATTATAGTGTCTCTTGAAACTTCGGTCAAATCTCATTTTACCTCTCCAAAGTTAAAGTGGCTTACTTAACCCACTTGATTGTGATTTAGTGTTTCACTTTACTCTAACTGTTATCTTGATTTAGTGTTTCACTTTACTCCAACTGTTATCTTCATTAATAACTCTGTTAGTTTTGATGACGTAATAGGGTTATTTTAGTTTTTTTACCAAATGCAATTACTTGTTTAATTAAAAAATTATATAAAACAATGGGAAAATTAATAAATAAAAATATTGCTTCTCTATTCTTTTAAAATAAAATTTAAATTTTTTTTTATTAAATAAATAAATAAAAACCCCGCCCAATTCCAACTCTCGCCAAATATCCCTATCCCTGAAAATGGCCTCATCCTTTCTCCTTTCTCCTCTCTCCGCAACAAATCACCGCACCTTCATGCATACCCACCCAAACCCACCACTAACCATACCCACCCACACCCCCCACCAGCCATACCCACCCAATCCCCAAAGATTATGACTGAATTTGGCATTCATTGCAATTGGCGTCATTCCCCTATAAAGGAATTAGGGGAATTGACTAACTAAAAAATTTAAAACTTTTTTAA